GCTCTCGGAAATGAAACAAAGTATGAAAATAAAGTAAAATATGTAACAATGTTGTACAAATACTGAGTGTTCTGTGTTTGATGTTATCTGCGGGACTTTCCCGTCGTTTCCACGTGTTGGGCTCGGAGCTCAGTGGAAGTTTGGCAGGTGAGGGAGACGCTGGAGTCCTGACACGCTGATGGTGTAAACAAAGAAGCTGGAAAGTACCCGTGTTTCTGAGCTGAACACTGCAGAGACGGGGTGGGCTTAGCAGACCACTCCCCATTAAAGCGAGTCGTCGTTTCTACAGCTCGACCCGTCGGGTCAAAAAGACTCAACTCTGTCAGTTCTTCAAAAATAAATAAAAATAGTGGACTGAAGCGCCTCTAGCTGCTCCTGCAACCATCACATCCTGTTTCATTTGTATCAAACTCCAATTCATGAGCCAAAGACTTCACAAGTTGTGGCTCACACACACTTGGATGTGCTTCTACACTTTTACAACATATAAGATCTTTTTGAAGCTCGTCACTAAGTCAAAGGTCAACGGCGACGGTCAGCTGACAGCAGAGAGCGGTTTCTCTCCAACAGAATCTGGATCTGGGTGTGGGTGGGGTTTTTACCTTCTGGCGGGTGATGGAGGAGCCTGTGCGATCTGGTCACCGTGACTCTGCGATGCGCCGACACACAGACGCCGCACAGAGCTTCATTGCAGTCGAGACACCAACATGCGGCGGAGGCTGCGTCGCAGTTGCTGCACTGAGGAGATGAGAAGGCGGAGACGTTCACAGGTGAGAGCGAACTCCAGCTGAAGGTCTTTTCTTTTATCGGTCTATTTAAATGCCATAAAAATCACACAAATTCACGTTTCCTGCACGTACGGACCACGGGCGATCCTGAAAGTGTGTCACAAGACACAGAAACACCAGCCTCACAGTGTTCGACGTGCATGCAAACACACACTCACACACATTTCCCACATGCTTGACTTTTTGACTTTTGTTGCCATGACGCCAGGTATCTCAATGAGACTTTTTACCTGGATAAATAAGGACTAATAATAATAAAATGCTGCTGCAGGATCATATGTGAATATTCTTTGGTTAAAAAGCTCAAAGCAGGAGATCCTGGTGGTGAGGTACAGATAAATAAAATAAGCTGGAGGTTCCCACGCCACCGTCTGAGTTACCTGCTGACTCAGGTCGTCTCCTGGTGCTCCTGTCGCTTCCATGTTGCTCAGCAAAGTTGCTTCCTGAAAGACAGAGAAGCTGATGAAGTCCGGCAGCTATGATGAGAACATTTGTGGCGTTGGTGATGTGCCAATCTAATGTGTGAATCAATAATCAGTCTGATGCTGACACAAAAAGCTAGATCTGACATTGGTGACGTGGTTCCCCTTTACTTTATCAGGCGACAGCAGCAGCTAGCGGGACCGCTAACATAGCACGGAGGAAATGATGCAAAGAAGCAGGTTCAACAAACTCTAACATCAGAAACTCTTTGTTTTTGGTCCCAGAAAGGCTGATCACAGATTATGTGCATGAGTAAAGAAAGTCATCATCAGTGGAGCTCTGATTCTCCACAGCAAAGAGTAAATAAGGAGCGGAGCCTCCATGTTAGTCTTTGGACACATTAGTGCGCACCGTGATGTTCGTCTTAATCAGGACGGGCTCACGTTAATGAGCTCGGGCCACTCTGTCATCATCATAAACATCTGCAACAGTTTATCAGCGTTTCAGTTTCTTAATAAAGTTCAGTAAATATTTCCCGTTGCCGACGGACGCCACAGCCTGTTTTTATAACACACCGTCTTTACTGCTTTATAACTTTATCTCATTTCAGCCTTCAGTGACAGACGGCGGCTTTCTCACAGACGCGTGTCTGTAACTGAAAAAAATACAATTTGAATTTAAAGTTTTGTCTGTAAAGACAAAAAAGCTGCAGGAAATTTACATTTGAAATAGTTCAGCACAGTTTTGGAAGGATGGTCTCGTTAAATACGAACAGCTTACAGATCGTGGACAGAATAACAGTACGATCAGCTGATCAGATCCTGATCAGAGATCATTCGACTGGATCCAGGTTGGAGTCTCCTGCCGTGTAGTCGGACCTCCTGAGACTGATTTATGTGATTTATATTAATTTAAGAGACTGAATCTTTCAAAATGTTGAATTTATGAACCAATCGATACAAAATGTGAACACAGTGAAACTTTAATCAAATTTCAGCCTCATCTTCACTCACTGACTCAAAGGGGGCACAGATATATGTATATATACCCTCACTGTGTTTACAGCCCCTTGCTGCACTTTAAGAAAATCTTCCAAGTGAACAGACTAAGCTCAGACAGTCTGTTACCATGGCAACTGACTCAGAGTTCAGGTTCACTCTCTTTAACAGTAAACCTGAGCTTCCCTCATCTAAGAGCTGCTATTAACGGTATTTGTAGTTTGAACTGCTCGTTTTTGTGCGATGGTGCCGTTTTGTTGGTCACACAGCTGCAGCGTTCGTGCAGTCACGTGGGGGACAGCGCAAAGGTTTCTGACTGAAACGCTGCTGCAGATGGACACAAACAACTTTCTGGGAAACATCGTCCATTACGTCAGAGTCTGACCACGCAGCTGTCATAATAAAAGTCCATATGTGACCTCCAGAGCTTAGTCCACGTACTACAGTAACCACGCTGTCACAGAAACAACCGCAACTCAGCGCGTCTCCTCCGAGCCACATCTGACACTGGGCTTCGTGGGTTTGTCACCCTCAAGTCCACCCTCACGGCAAAAACCGTTAGAGCCACACATAAAACACACGCAGGCGTGTCTGTGGAAGTTTCACCTCTCATCAGTCCGTCAGTTACAGGGTTTAGCGTGTCTCCTCTAGTCACGTCACGGAGCGCGTGTCTGAGGGCCAACGTGAGCCGAACGTCATGTAAACACAGAGGAGCGTCCCAAGCACTGCCATGACGTCATCGCGCGGGAAATGGAGTTTTTGCTTCCCACGGTCGCCAAGTGCTGGCTCGGGGCGTGGTCTGACGAGTGGCGCTGCGATTTGGCGCTGTGTAAATAAACCTGAGCTGAGCTAGACCCGGACCCGAAACGCCGCTAAGGGGGCCGAGAGCCCCGTGTCAGAGACCAGCTCCGACACCGGGGGTTCAGCCGAGATGGACTCACCGTCACTGTCCGCTCCATCCACAGACACGCACACCGTCGACATTCACGGTAACACGAGTCCTCCCGGTTTAGCCTGGAGCCGCTAAAACAACCACAACGACGGAACCAACAAGAACCGTTACGAACACAACACAGATATAACTTCCGCCCCGCTTCTTCTTCGGGTCCGTGCAGGTGACGTCCCGGCTGTGAGCGTATTACCGCCACCTGCTGGTCGCCACCGGAAACTGGTATTTACAGACCTGCTGCAGGTTTGGGAAACAGCGGAGCGTCAGTGACAGGAAACACATTAATACACTCATCGACCACCTCGCTGCGAGTCGCTTACTAATACAAGGAAACACATTAGACATAAAACACAAAACACAACACAAAAACACACATAAACATCAACCATCAGCTGTCGGACCCCCTCTGTCCCGTCGTGTTGTTATATTCATGGTGCTGGAAACCTTCCTCGGAGACGTGGGTCCACCGTGGGTCCACCACATCCCGGAGGTCCGCTGCTGGACTGAGATTACGTGACTGTGGACCTTTCAACAGGTCAGTTTGCACTTGTCTACATGCCTGAATACACTGAGCTGCTGCCACGTGATTGGCTGGTTACATAATCAGGGCTCAACAGGTGTCCCTAACAAAGTGTCCAGTGAGTGAATATCCTGGATTTTAAATATATTTTATTTTGTTAATATATATATTTACCTATTTAAATGTATTATTATTTAAATACATTTGAGATGTTAACATGTTTTGAAAGTAATTTTATGTATTACTCTACGATAATTAGCAAATGAGTAAAATAGAGTTTATTACTGGGAAATCGAGGTGGATAATAAAGAAAAGAAGGGGCGTGTCCTGTCTGTTTTCACTGTATCACTTCGCACCAAATGCAAAGATGCTAAAAACATTTTTTTTTTTTAAAAAGATATCCTGATGTTACAACAAAACCGTGTCGGGCTGTGTCCTCAGTCTGCTGCTACTGATTTGTTTCTATAACAAGTTGAGCTTTTCTGCTCTTTCCAGAATTATAATAATTACAGCTTCACTCAAATATGACGGAGGTGGTGAAGCAGCCATGCAAACACACAAAACTCTGCTTCAGATTCAAATGAAGACACGAACCTGAGACCTGATGCAGCGACGTGTTCAAGGTTTGATGCTGTGAGAAAAGCTTTATTACACTTACAGACTAAAAGTGCAGCAGAAGGTCAGAGAGGATGGATGCACGAGCGCAGCTCACAGGGTATCGCCTCAGTCTGGCTTCATGGTTTCACACTTCATTCACTCACCATGTGGTGGTTGATGGAGGTCAGTCTGAGGACTCTTTGCTTCTCAGATGAATTTGAATAAGGCCGATTTTTGCATAAAGAAAAGACTCCTGATATCTTTAACCAAATAAACCTTAATGAGCACTTACCTTTCCTGATACTACATCTGGATTTACATCAATTACGATGACCGTCTGATAGAGGACGGAGGTACACAAACCTGAGCAACAGCATGAAGGTCGCCGCTCTGCTGGCATCAAATCTCTGATGAGGTCACCGTGCACGGAAATGGTTTGAACAGCGGAGGGTGTGGTCAGATGGCAGCAGTACCCAGCACAGACAGTGGAGGTCGTGCTGGTCTGAAGCGAATCGTACTGATGGCGCAAACGTCAGGTAGACATGTGTGTTTCTGTCCTGTGTCCTGTTTGTTTGTACATGTGTCTTTCTTGCTGCTGTTACACCCGAATTTCCCCTTGTGGGACAATTAAAAAATTATTCTATTCTATTCTTTTCTAAATGGTTCAAACAGCCCTTCATCACTCCGTCTGTGAGAGCGAGCACTGTGATGGTTTAGTCTGCACACTAGGAGGGGATCAATGATTTATTCCCTGATTTTTTATTTTAGGTTACAAGCTGTAAAAATTCAGTGTTTGTGTGGATTTAAAATAATGTTACAGTCAAACACAATGTTAGAGCTATGGACAGAACATGAATAATCAGTCTGTGTATGAGAGGTAACAGAGAACATGATAAACTATGTACTGGTGTTAAACTCGCGTTGATGATTGGGAGTCACTGGTCTTCTATCCACTGACACCAAACACCAGTTCTGTATGGACCGCTGGTCTCACTGGTCTCATTGCTCTCCCGACTCTGTGATTAAACTCCAGGTCTGCTCCTGTCTCTTCCAACAAAGGAACCTCTGGATTTATTTCTGGGAATAAACTGTTCAAATGCTGCGCGATCATCATCTGTTTTTAGGTTTAGGTATACTTTAAATACGACAAAGCTGTGTTTCTCTGCTTTTTCCATGAACAGTTGGACTCATGGTTGCTGCTTATTATCAACTAACTGTATTTTTTTTATCTCTTTCAGAAAAATCGAACCCATTAAAGCTGTAATTCTCATGCTATCAGCTTAATGCATGATTGAAAAAGATATTTAGCAACAGTAACAGATTTTCCTTTTTTGGTTATCCGAGGGTTCGAGTAAAGAAGTGATCGTATACAAGTCCTCACTGTGTTTCTGTATGTAGCCGGTGTCCACACGAGGAAAGATCAGAGCAACAGAGGCTCCACGCAAACATATTACTCAGCTATATGTGAGGGGGCAACAAATCATTAATAAACCGCTTTAAATACATTATATAAAGTAGAACTGTTTTCCTGATCTGACTGGAATTTGATGGAAAAGCTCAGCTTCAGGTTGTTTAGTTCAAATTTAACTGTTAATAACTGAGTGAAACTGGAAACATCCATGAAGCATTTTCTCTTCATCTTCTTGCTGAATGATGACATGTGGACCTTTGTTGAGTCCAAGCTTCAGATGAGTTCATTTTAAACATGTTAAACATTCTTCATATACAGCTCCTCTTTAAGTTAAATCAATTCATCATTAATTGAAGCGGGGACAGACAGAGCGTCAGAGCTGCGTCACATTTCTTTGTAAATCAAATTTTATAGAAAGTTATAGAAAAACATTACCATAGATTGCCTACATATAAACATTTAATAACTGCTGATATTGGTTTCGTTTGCTTCCCTCTGATCTCTCTTAGCTAACTTCATTAGTTACTTCCTACCAACAGATCACCAACATACGCATTAAACCACATTCAAATATTACCTTTAATTAAAG